GAAGAGTTGTTAAGGATCCATCACTTTAAAGAGAGAAATGCTGGAAATAAAGAGGGAGTAGGCAGGGCCAGATTATAAGCGACCTTGAATGTCATGTTAGGAGTCTCAAGCTTAACTTTTCAAATGGCCAGGAGCATTGGAAAACTTACACTTATAATATGGTCAGAGTTATATATTGGAGAAACTAACCTTGGGTGGAGTTTTGTGTGTGTGTGTGTGTGTGTGTGTGTGTGTGTGTGTGTGTGTGAGATACAGATCTAAAAACCATCTAATTAGTTAGGGGAATGAGGAAATAGGTGAGAAAGAATAAGGGTCAGAGCTTTTCTCCATGAAGATGGAGAAGAAGAAAACTTGAAGATAAATGTTGAGGACACACTGTCGGGACACACTGTCGGGACACACTGTCGTTTCACACTGTCGGGTCACACTGTCGGGTCACACTGTCGGGACACGGTGCAGCAAAAGGCTGTGGGATGTGAACGAAAAACAGAAAGAGGAAGGTCACAGATGGTGTGACCAACAGTCTCCCGGAAAGGCAGGTGTGTGTGTCCAGCAGACAGCTGGATTGTGAAGCTCAGGAGCAGGATCTGAACTAGAAGTACACATCTGGCAGTCTCGAGTGTAGACAAAGTATTTAAGGTTGTGGGAGTAAGCAATTTTCTTGAAGACAGTACTGATGCTAAAAGATAGATGGAGTCCTAAGGATTAGTCACTTCTTAAAGGTGGACTGTGCAAGATCCGGAAGGATTGGTTAAGTAGCATCAGGAAGGTATAAGGAGAGCAGGGTGTGATGTCCTGTAATCCTAGCACTTGGAAGGCTGAGGCAGGAAGGTGGTGAGTTAGGGTCTAGCCTGAGCTATGTGGTGAGACAGACAAAAGGGGAGGCAGTCATAAAGAGAGCCTCAAGTGTTCCCTACATAGGACACTGAATCTGAAGAGGGAGGAATTGGTGCTGTCAAAATGCAGCATGTATTTCCTGGAAAACAGCCACTGGATTCAGTGATAATGTCACTTGAAGAGGTGTAACAGGGCTGGTAACCTGGCAACCAGATACAGTGGGGGATGAGACAGGAACGGGAAATTAAGAAGTGGAGTCAGTGACTACAATACGTAGCCTGCTTGCTCAGGGACTGTATGTAATGACAGCTTAAGTGGCTGTGTCCTCCCACCTTACACAGTTCTAACCCTGTGGCAGGAAAGGCCTGACACTTTGACATTTGTACTTGGTAAAGATTAGATAAATGAGTTTAATCACGTGGAGGTGACAAGCCTTTAAGGTTTTGCTTAGTGATTCTTCCTCAACTTTAACTTTTCCTTTAACTTTTTTCTTTCTTGTCTGTTTAACGTTGGAAGTGGTTTAGGCACCGAGTTTCCTGTAGACGCCTTCATGCCCCATTTTGAAAAATTGGCTTCAAACCACTTCCTGCTTTGCTCATTAAAAAAATAATAGCTGATATTTACATAGCAATCAGGACTCCATCAAGAAATGCTGTGTGCATTAAAAAACAAAACAAAGCAAGAAGTGCTGTGTGCGTTAAATAACAAAACAAAACAAGGAATGCTGTGTGCATTACCTCTGTCATGTTATTGTCCTAGTAGTAGAATAACAAAGCTGTGATCTTGTTCATCTCCCAAAAATGTAATGCTGCTGTACAAAGTTGTAACAGATGGGAAGCTGGGTTTCCAGAGTCAAAGACTAGACTTTGTGTCCCGTGGCACTTGTGAAATTTTATTGAGTGACTAGTTATTTCACTGGCCCTCACACACTCGAAATGACTGCCCAAGAAGGCACATTGGAGACGTAAATCCAGTCAAAAGACTGATTGAAAAGTTTCTGGGGCCGCTTCAGTGACATTGAATGGCACACTCGAGAACGCTGACGTTGTTAAACTCACCTGGCTTACAGGCTCTTGTATCACTCTGAGATGCATCATGCTTGCTTCCACAAACATGTACTTTAATTATTCAGTACTCCTCTTTTCTTGCCTTGTCTGCCTACTGATGGCTGAGTAGTTGGCCATAAGAAAGCTATTCTTTTGCAAACAGCAAAGACACTGGGAGTCTATGGTATGTTTGAGACAGCCACGCTTAAGGAGGTTCAAGAGCTTGCAATTTAGTGGTGATAACATTTCATCTTTGCAAAGTTATTAAAGATTTCATACAAATGTTGAATGTGAAGAGTGCAGGCATCTCACTTCATTGGGATGTAGACACAGAAGTAGGATATTTACAGAAATGATCCCATTGGTAATTCCATGTTTAGTTTCTTGAGGAATTGCCATTTTCCAAAATTGACGTACATAATTTTTTCCCTCAATTCTTTTAAAGGCAAGGTCTTGCTATATAGCCCCAACTAGACTCAAACTCATGATAATCCTCCTGTTTCAGTCTTTGTTTTCTGTTTCTTTCTTATTTTTTAAGTGTAACTTTGGCTGTTCTGAAATTATGTAGCCCAGGCTGACCCCAAACTCAAAAGAGATCCACGTGTCTCTCTGGAATGAAAGGAATTGAATACCACTATGTCCAGCTTTACTAGCCATTTTTTGTTGTTTGCTTGGGTGTTTTGTTGTTTTAGTTTTAGTTGTTTTCAGACAGAATCTTGCTGTATAGCCCTGGACTTGCGTGTGTGTTGGGGTATGTGTTTCCAGACAAGGTTTGTCTGTGTAACAGAGTTTTAGCTGTCCTGGAACTTGCTCTGTAGACCACACTGGCTTCAAACTCAGAGATCTGCCTGGCTCTGCCTCCTGAGTGCTTGGATTAAAGGTGTAGCTGAGCCCTGAACTACACTATGGACTACTCAGCCTAGTCACTCATCTTTTTGATAATATTCCAAGAGGTGTGAGTAGGCACCTCATTGTGGCTCTAATTTATATTTCTCTGATGGTCAATGGTGTTGAGTACCTCTGCACAAACCTCTTTTCCACAGTACCCGTTCTTTGGGAAAAGGCCTGTTCAGCTCTTTTTTTCCCATAGTTGATCAGGTTATTATTATTACTTGCTATGGAGCTGAGTTCTTTATATTCCCATACTTACTTTAACATGATGTATAGTAGCTAGGGTACAGTGTTCATCAGTGGATGGAACAAACTATGTAGCACACATGTGAGTGTGTGCGTTCCCTCCCCCGCACTCTGCAGGCTCATAAGGAAGGGGATGCTGTGACCTGTAACACGGTTGTACCTGGAGCACACCATGCTATGTGGACTGAGGTAAGTGCAGTTGGAGAACTGTGTCATGGCACTCGTGGGAAATTTTAAAGAGCTGATCTCATGGAATCTGTAGAAAAGTGGTAACCAGAGGCTGGTGGGGGCAGAGGAAGGTTGGGGAAAGGAAAGTTGGTCAAAGGGAACCACGTTACAGTTAGAAAAGTTTTATTGACTATGGCATCACGTGTGAAGACTGCAGTTTATTTACATACCATGTATTTTGAGGTGACAAACCGATTGTTTGCAAACATTCTCATAAGAAAAAATTAAGCTGTTGAGATGATGGATATAGTAATTTGAATCTTCCTACAAGGTCTATATAGACTGAAAACATCACATTGTATCCTATACATACACACAATTATTAATGAATTAAAAATAAGATTGGGTTGTGATGGCACAGGCCTTTAATCTCAGCACTAGGAAGGGAGAGGAAGGTTGATCTCTGTGTGACTGAGTCCAGCCTGTCTACACAGCGAGTCCCAGATCAGCCAGAAACACACAGCAAGACCCATTATCAAAATAGAAATGCACTTCCCCCAAAGCAAAACAACAAAGAATGGAGAGATGACATTGTCAGGGCCATGAATGTGTGTCTCTGCCCCGCGCATGTAACCGATGTCAAACCCAGCTTAGCAAATTGTATTTGCATTGAAACTTATTTGGAATTTGGAACTGTGTGAAAAGGACACCAGGAAAACCACCTTAGAAACAGCGAATGTATCAGGTGGTGGTGACACATGCCTTTTATCCCAGCACTCAGGAGGCAGAGGTAGGGGGATCTTATACGGAGCAAGTTCCAAAGTTACACCAGTCTCAATAAAACCAAAGAGGGGTGAGAAATAGAGAGAGGGGGGGATATATGTCTGACTCTAGAAAAGATAAGCACGAACTGTAATATAGATTCAATGAAATCATTCCAGATAACCAAGGAGGTCTTTTTATCTTTATATGAGAGTACAAGTCATGCTATAGATTTACAAGCTCCACCGGGCTTCCACTGCCTGCTCCAATCCTTGTTAAGACTAGCCGTCCCCATTTCCACTTATGAAAGGGTGGTCTTCACCTTGCTCTGGCTGGGAAATGTGCCTAGTTCGCAGAGAACACATTATTTATGAATACATCTGAAGTTGAGGACACGCTGAGCTAACATCTTCCCTATACTGTTTAATAAAAACATTTATTTATCAGTTATTTAGTTATATACGTATAATAAGGCCTAGCTGACTCTACTGCCCAGGCAGCTGGTTTAGAAATTGACCAATCCTCCCGCAGCAGCCTCTGGAGTGCTGGGAGTATGGGCGTAAAACGCGCCGACGCCCAGACTCTTGCAAAACCGATTTCACCTGTTCCCTTTCTAGCTAGCACAGCCACTAGGAAATCCTAAGGAGTTTGTGCGACCGCGAGATGAACTCCCACATCCTCTGGGCTTTAGCACGGCGGACACGTAATCCAGGCTCGATTTCCTCGTAGTGAGAAGGGGCTGGGTCGGCGTGAGGTCGGGGGCGGGGCGGGCAGGCCTGCGGCAGCCGGGAGCAGTGGCTCCGGGGAAGGCCCCGACGCCCGGAAGGACCGCGACTCGGCGCGGGCAGAGGTCGCCCGCCAGGTGTCCAGTCGGCGGGTGCACGACCGGGACGCTCCGATAGGCAGCCGCCCGAGGCTCGCCCAGGCAGAGGCGCGCGCCGCCGCACGTCCGCAGGGAGGCGGGAGCGCGGTGGGCGGAGCGTGGCGGCGGGGCGGGGCCGGGCGGGGCGGGGCCGGGCGCGGGCTTCTTCTGCGGGCGCGCGGCCTGCGCCCGGGAGCCGGGGACGTCTGCGCGGGCCGAGGGCGGTGGTGGTGGCGGCGGGAGGCGATGGGCCGCGGCTGGGGCTTGTTCGTCGGCCTCTTGGGTGTCGTGTGGCTGCTGTGCCCTGCGCACGGCGAGGAGCGGCAGCCGGAGACGGCCGCGCAGCGCTGCTTCTGTCAGGTGAGGGCTGTGCCTCTCCCCGGGCGCGGGCGGGATCCTGTGCGCCGCCGGGACTGCGCTCCGGGTCGCCCCTGGCCCGCGGGACCCTGCGGTGGGCCGGCTTGTCACACCAGAGCCCCGGCACCCGGGCACCTCGTGCATCCCCAGCCTTCCTGCTCCCGGCCGACTCTGGCGGGGATCAGCCGCCCTCCGGATCTCGCTGTCGTTGTCAAGAGGTTGAGCGACCTTGCGAGGCTCTTTGGATGCCCTGGTCCAAAACTGGCCGGTGTCTTTGCGGCCGTTGTTGTCCGTCGACTCCTCAGCCCTGTGTGTATGGTGTACTTTATTATTCTTCCTGAAGCTTGTTCTCGCTCGCATCCTGACACTCCCTTAGCGGGTTGAATCCTAGGCAGGCCCCGGTTTTATTTTGATTATGAGCTGTGATTATTTTTTTTTTTTAGGAGATGTTGGTTCTGTGAGCATTTATTTTGGTAGTGTAGCCTGTTAATTTTGTATAAGGCCATTTGCGTTAGACGCACTGAAATAAGTCTAATTTTCATTTTTCAGTCTCCAGAAAATGCCAGCAGATAGCTTGGAAACGTCCAGAAGAACCTGGAATCTGTCGATGTGCTAGTCTCTAAGTGCGTTCTTGTAAAGTCTGGAAAAATTCTCGAGTATTTAGGGGTCCCCCCCCCGCCTTTCTTCTGTTTAAAACTATATGAGATTATTCTGTTATTGAGTTACTTGATGTGTGAATTGTATTGCGATACAGGTGTTCACAAGCACGCTTTGCTCTGGCCTGCTCTCTCCTCCCCTTTACAATGTTTAAAATCTTGGCTTACTTAATTTGTGTCTGTGTATTGTACGTGTGGGTGTACACATAGCGAGGGGTGCTTGCAGTGAGGACAGCTTGCAGGAATCTTTCCCCATCCACCACGTGTGACCCAGGGTTCAATCTCAGGCCCTCGGGCTTGACAGCTGACATATCTCATTGGCTCTTGTTACTCTTTAAAGCCATCTTTTGGCGGACTTCGAATTCTGAAATTTATTTTTAAAAAATGGAGGGATAAATAGTCAAATCATTCGTGGGTCTTACTACTTATGACCAGAAATAACGTGTTGCTGAATATGATACTATAATGCTATTATCAACATTTGATGTTTGGAGGAAGAGGCTCTTTTTAACCGCTTTCAATTTTGGATTTTATTGTTTTGAGGAATTTGGGAGCAGAGGTGAGTTGTTGGGGGAAGTTCCCTTGATCACAGTTGTCAGGTATACAAAGTTAAACATTTTTTATTTATATGTATATAAGTGTATGCTGTGTGTGTGGTGGCAATTGTTAACTCACGGTATGGGTGCTGGGAATTGAACTCAGTCCTGGAAGAGCAACCACTGCTCTTAACTGCTGAGTCATCTCTCCAGCCAGGTATACAAAGTTTCAATATCTAAACCTTTAAAAGACAGGAACAAGGAACTTGTTTTAACTGTCTGTGCTGAGAAAGATAGGGGGTGTTACACTCAGGTGTTCTGGATGTTTGGATAATGGTGTAAAAATACTATTTGGTTCTTCAACTTTGTTCCACACTCAGTGTTTTTAGAGATCTCCTTAAAATTGAGGAGGAACTTTAAAATTTTTTTACATTTCTTCTTGGATAGTAATTAAGCTTTTTTTGGTTGTTGTTACATTTTCTTCAGATTTATCTTTTATTCATTTATTTGTTTATTTTGAGCCAGGGTCTCTTGACAGACATAGCCCTGACTGTCCTGGAAAACAATATGTAGACCAGGATAGCATCCAACTCCCAGAGATCTGACTGCCTCTGCCTCCCAACTGCTGGGAGGGATTAAAGGTGAGGGTCGTGATGCCTGGCCCTTATTTAGTTTTAGGGTTTATTTATTTTTATTTAATGAGTACGTGTGTTTGCCTGCCTGTGTGCACACCACACGCCTGCGTAAGTGGGAAGAGGATGTTGGGTTCCATGGAACTAGCGCATGAGCCGCCCTGAGGGTTCTGGGAATAGAACTCAGGTTCTATGGAAGAGCAGTGCTTGTTCTAACCACTGAGCCATCTCAGCCCCCAATAACCTCAGGCTTAAATGCTCTCTGATACCCCCCAAAAAAATCTGTTAAGTCACTTTCTTTAAAGGGATACTTTCTGGTTTTCCTCTTCGGAGTCAACTGAATAATTGTAAATTAGCCTGGTTCAGTGGGGCTTTCATGTCTGAACTCAGCCTGTGGCAGCCTGGGCTTCCCCCAAAATTTAGCCTTGCTAATGGCCGAAATAGCTACATTGGTCTTAGTTTTTTTCCTTTTCCTCCTTCCTGCTGTCGGCCTCTCTTACCACTTCTGCCTCTGGTTACCACACCACCGCCCTGCCTTGCACTGTGGTGTGAATATGTGGTTTGTAGTTGGGGTTCAGCTCGCAGACTCTCTGAGTCAGAGCAGTATGTAGCTCTTTTTTTTTTTTGATATTATTGTTATTATTTTTTTTAAAGGTTTATTTATTTGTTATGCATACAGTGTTCTGCCTGCATCCCTGCAGGCCAGAAGACACCAGATCTCATTACAGATGGTTGTGAGCCACCATGTGGGTGCTGGGAATTGAACTCAGGACCTTTGGAAGAGCAGGCAGTGCTCTTAACCTCTGAGCCATCTCTCCAGCCCCCAGTATGTAGCTCTTTGACCTTAGAAAGTCACTGCAGTAAAATGGACAGAGTTCTGCAATCAATAAGTGTAACTGTGATAAGTATTCCACAGGACACTCATCAGTGAAGTGTTGAGACATCAACCTGAATGATTGGTTTTCTATTGCGGTGAAGAGACACCATGACCATGACAGCTCTTATAAAGGAAAACATTTAATTGGGTGGCTTACAGTTTCGGAGGGAGGTTTAGTCTGTTGTCATCATGGTGAGGCTTGGCAGCCTGCAGGCAGACTTGGTGCTGGAGAAGGAGCTGAGAGTCCTGCATCTTGAGCTACAGACAACAGGAAGTGAACTTGGACACTGAATGTGGCTTGGTCATATGCAAGATTCTCAAAGCCCACCTCCACAGTGACACACGTACTCCAACAAAGCCACACCTCCCAATAGTGCCACTCCCTAGGAACTTTTGGGAGCCAGTTCATTCAAACTACTGCAGCATAAGATGAAAAATAGCATTTGGTTTAGCCATTGTTTGCTAGGATTGGGCTTTTTGATGGGTTGATGACTCTGATGTGACTTTGGGCTTGGTTAGTGACTACATATATCTGTTGGTTTCAAGTCCTTTTAAAATGATTTTCACTGTATGTTGTAAATTCTTTCTTTTTTTCTTCTTTCACAAATAGGGTTTCACTGTGTAGTCCTGGTAGTACTGGAACTCATTCCGTAGACCAGGCTGGCCTCAAACTCACAGAGATCTGTCTGCTTTTGCCTCCAGTGCTTGGATTAAAGGCCACCATCACCCAGTATGTTGTAAATTCTTAAAAAATTTTTTTGCTTTATTTTATTTTATGTATTTGAGTGTTTTGCTTGCAGGTATGTATGTGTACCACGTGAGTGCCAGGACCACTGGAGGTCAAAGAGGGTGTTGGAGCTGGAGTTAGTTGATTGTGATCCATGTGGATGCTGGGAATTGAACACAGGTCTTCCCTCTGCAAGAGCAGCTGCTGAGGCATTTCTCCAACCCTTGTAAATTCTTTTCAAAATAGTGTTTTATTGTTTGCTGTTCATTACTCAAAATGATTGTTTGGAACTTGTAAATCTTAATACAACCGCTGTCCTTTTTATTATCCCATTAGAATAGTAATTAGTAATATTAGTTATGTAGTAAGTTGGCTCTTATCCCCATTTGAGCAAATAATCCTGTAAGCAAGAAGCACCCCTTCTTTGAACCAAAATATTATTGGTTATCACAGATAACTTAGATGAAAGGAAGTCCTTACAGTTTGTTACTTTTAGTTTTTTCTTTTTTCTTTTTTTTTTTTTTTTTTTTTTTTTTGGTTTTTCAAGACAGGGTTTCTCTGTGGCTTTGAAACCTGTTCTGGAACTCTCTCTGTAGACCAGGCTGGCCTCGAACTCACAGAGATCTGTCTGCCTCTGCCTCCCGAGTGCTGGGATTAAAGGCGTCCGCCACCAACGCCCGGCTCTACTTTTAGTTTTTGACAGTTATGTTAAGTAAGTGAATGTAGCAAAACATTAGGCACAATTTCTCGAATATATTTTAAAGATAAAATCTCAAGAAATAAAGACAGTTATGGAGGAAGTATGAACATATTTTGCATTTAACTAAAAATTAGTGTACGTTCCTTTCCACAAAAGCTGTTTTACTATTAAATCTGCTTATCATCAGATAAAAAGAGCTTTAATTGGTAGAGCGACTTGCTGTGCCATGGAGAGGTGATTTGTTGAGTGGACAGAAACCCAGTATTAAATCCTTGTCAGAGGGATCTTTGAAATAGGCTATTCTAGAGAGGTGGCAATTGACTCTAATTGCCTGCTGCACCCCTGGCTTTATGAATAAAGAATATGGAAGAAGTACTTGTATGATGGTTGCTGTCCTTTGAGTGTCTTCACAATGTGATGTGTTTTTATTTACTTTTTTTTTTTTTTTTGGTTTTATGAGACAGGGTTTCTCTGTATTGTTTTGGAGGCTATCGGTCCAGCCTGGCCTCGAACTCACAGAGATCTGCCTGCCTCTGCCTCCCGAGTGCTGGCATTAAAGGCGTGTGCCACCACCGCCCGGCTCTATTTACTTTTTTTTTTAATTAAAAAAGATTTACTTATTTTATGTGTGAGTGTTTTGCCTATAGTAAATCTGTGATATGCCTGTGGAGGTCAGATGAGGGCATTGGATCCTCTGGACTGGAGGTACAGTTGTGAGCCACCATATTTGTGATTAAACATACATATCATATTGCATTTGGCTAAATCAGCTGTGGTCAATGGAGAAAGGAACTGAGCGCTCCACGCCCTGCCCCGTGCTAGTTTTCCATGAGCTGGTCCCTTACTCCAGTGGGACGATACAATAGTCCAGTATCAGACACCTTGAAAATTAGGTCTGTATCTTCCTCCTCATTAAGGAAATGTGGGCTGCTTTGGAGAGGAGTAGAGCACTTGAGGAGAGCTGGGTTAATAGCGATATTTAACATGTTTATTTTCTTTATTATTCTGATACCAAATCTGTAATATTTATCATTTTTTCAAGCATTTATTTTCTTAATTGTATACACACACACACACACACACACACACACACACACACACACACACGGTCCATCTGCAGGTACACTTTTATGCCAGAAGAGGGCATCGGATTCCCACTATAGATGGTTGTGAGCTGCTGGGAATTGAACTCAGGACCTCTGGAAGAGTAGCCAGTGCTGAGCCATCTCTCCAGCCCTGCACTTATTTTCTTTAGCCAAATCTATGAGATGGTAATTAATGTTTTATGGAAAACACAGTGACAGTGTGAACTTTAAACCTGAATAGGACTAACTGCAGAGCTTGGTGGTTGTGGAGGGGCTGCCCTTTAGAAACTTGCCATGGGTACCTTGAGAGGCTTTGTAACTCTCACAAACTGGGTCTTTTTTTAAATATTTATTTATTTATTATGTATACAGTGTTCTGTCTGCATATCAGAAGAGGACACCAGATCTCATTACAGATAGTTGTGAGCCACCATGTGGTTGCTGGGAATTGAACTCAGGGCCCCTGGAAGAGCAGCCAGTGCTCTTAACCTCTGAGCCATCCTCCCAGCCCCCAGACTAGGTCTTTAAACTGGGTGTGGCTATGTGCTAGGCTACGTCAGTCCTTCTGTCTACCTACTTGAATCGAGTCTTTCTCTGTCCCATCAGCCAGCTCTCAAACCACAACACAGAGACTTATTAGTAATTATGAAAGCTCGGCCAACGGCTTCGGCTTGTTTTTAGCTAACTGTTACGGCTTAAGCTAACCCATTTCTATGAATCTATGTGCTGTCCTGAGGCTGTTTCCCTTATATACAGACTGTCACCTGCTTCCTCTGTGTCTCCTCACATGTCCTCCTTCCCAGTGTCCTCTGGCGTTTGGAAATCCTGCCTAGCTATTGGCAGTTCAGCTTTTTATTAAACCAATCAGAGTGACATATCTTTACTCAGTGTAATCAAATATCTCACAACACCTGCTGTTCCTCAGTGTGGGCCTTTTAATCGTCGATTTAGTTTGGCTCCTACCAAAGCTGGCTATCACTTGAAGTCTAGGGCAATACACTTCAGGTTTAGTAGGTGTTAACCACTTTGGGAGGGGGAGAAGGATGCTGGTTTTGAAGCTTGGATTCCCGTGGCAGGCTGGGCTTGTTTGCAGTGGGGAATAGTGTCGTGGCTACCTGACCAGCAGAACTGTGGCCTGAAGCACAGCATCAGGCCGGGCTTGTTGCGCCTCGCACCTGTCTGGCGTCCTAGGATTTTCTTTTGTTTCTAAGAGTCTGTGGGTTCTGTTGGTGCCATTCCTGCCACAGCCCTTCCTTGTGACGGATATGGTAACATTCCTGTTCTCTGATTTCTAGAACTAGGCTGGCATCACACCTGTCAGACTTCTTCCAAGAATGGAGCTCTGCCTCACCTCTTGGCCGGCGTGCCCCATGGATTTCCAAGTGTCTCTCTGTCCTCACGGAGCCTGAGCTCTCTGCTTCTATTGAAACCCTGACATTTTTATTTTGCGTCCTTAGCCACTCTGCTGCCTGTGGTTGTCGTGGAGAATATGGCCCATTCCACATGCAGGGTAAAGGGCAGAAGGCTTAAAAGTCTCCCATGTGTGCGCCTCCTGTCCCTGTGTGGTCTCCTGGCCGGGTGCCATCCCTGCTCTGGGATCTTCCGTTGCTTCCTGGTGCAGAGTGTCCTCTGCACTTTAGAATGACGTGTGGGTAGGCAGAAGGTGGGGCCCAGAAGGCTGTCCTCACTGCCTGTGTGCCTTGCCTCGTGAGTGCGCTCCGGTGCTTGGGCCACCAAGTGCACGCACGCACGCACGCACGCACGCACGCACGCACGCACGCACGCAGTGAGCTGTGGCTCAGGAACTACAGGGGCAGCCCTCATTCACTTACCCACCCCATGAGTGGTCGCTGAGATACATTGTGTCATTTCCGGAGGCACAGTGCTGCAGGCTGGATCACTAAGTGAAAAAAACATCATTTTGCCCCAAGATTTTATACGCTACTTGTCGGGATGGATAATACAGTCAGGAAAGTGAGGTATTCTCACACTGCAGTACTATGTGGAATGCTCTGGAAGCGCCCAGGAGAGACAGTTGACCCCACGGTGGTAGAAGACTGAGAGCATCCCCAAGGTGACAGTGCTTAGCCCTGTCCTGCAGGGTTATTTTCACCTTGGCAATGAGCTCCTGGGATGTTTGGCTTCAGGCTCAGGCTTTTGTGTCTCCTTTTGTAACTTGCTGTCTCTGGTTGCTGCTCTTCTTTTAATCTTTGTGCTATTTCTGTGTCATTCTTTTTAACAATTCGAATCAAAGGCGAGAAATAGTAGGTGGGTTCTATCCTTATAAATTCAAAAGGCGTGAAAATAGATATGATAGAATATGTGGATTAGATTTCTAGAAAATGAGTGAGACTAGAAAAATCAGTAAAAAGTGTTAGTTTTGGGACATTGCTGTTGTGAAAAGTTTCTGTTACTGAATTTCAGTGTTCTTAAATTAAGATAATATAGGATCTTACATACTATAAGAGTAAAATATTAATTCAGTATTTTAATGAGTTTTATAACTTGCTTTCTTATTTTAATGTATGTGTGTTATATGTATATGAAAAACCAAATATATATATTTGATTATACAGAGACAGCATTTCTCTATTTAACAGCCCTAGCTATTCTAGAACTTTTGTAGAGCAGGCTGGCCTTGAACTCACAGAGATCTGCCTGTTCTGGAACTAAAGGGGTGCACCACCATGCCTCACTCTTAAAATATATTTTAATTGTGTGTGTGATGGGGTGTGTGCAAGGGAGTGCCAAGTGTAGGAGGTCAGGAGAAGGCACCGGACCCTGTTGTTTGTTTTTGTTGTTTGTTTTTTCGAGATAGGATTTCTCTGTGTAACAGTCCTGACTGTCCTGGAACTTGCTCTGTCTCAAAGTAGTCTCGAACTCACAAAGATCCACCTCCCAAGTGCTGAGATTAAAGGCCACCACTACCCTGACATGACTGTTCTTTTTTAAAAACTACTCACTGAGATCAATTTGTGCTGCTATATGTATGGATGTGGGGCTGCCCCCGGAGCATGGTCATTCTACCAGCGACCATATCCCTGAAGAAAACTCTTCCATAGTAGCTGTTAGTAGCTCCTCAGTGAGGGGCTGGTGCTCTCCCTTATTTTCAATGTAGTTTACAGTGCAGACATACCAAACCAAAGTATTTCAGGGTTTTCTTTTCTGAATTGTGATGTGTTTTCTTTTTCTATTGTTTGGAATAATTATGCACTTCTTTCTTTCTTTCTTTCTTTCTTTCTTTCTTTCTTTCTTTCTTTCTTTCTTTCTTTCCTTCCTTCCTTCCTTCCTTCCTTCCTTCCTTCCTTCCTTCTTTCTTTCTTTCTTTTTTTTTAATGAGACACGGTTTCTCTGTGTTGCTTTGGAGCCTATCCTGGAGCTCTCTTTGTAAACCAGGCTGATGTACTTGTTTCTTAATGTTACATTGTTTTTATCAGGTGTTTGCTTAACTCCCAAATAAATGCCCGAACTGTTAAGTTTCACAGCTAGTAACATTGGCTGATTATAACTTCCCATTACATACTGATGTAGAAAGTTAATAGTTTGATCTAGGAGGAAGGGTCAAGACATCAGGGCTAAGCATTTGTGGTCAGTTTTTACCCCAGTGTTGCTATGAGAAGTGAGTTCTGAGCATCATTCCAAACCTAGAAAACCTGCCATGGCCCAATAGTTGGGGTTCCAGTTCCCTCTACATCCAAGCTCAGCTGACCCTGAAGAAGTGCCACTGGGTTGCTCTAGAGATACAAGAAGAACAAACAGCATCACTGTATTGGCATTCTCTGTCTGAGGAACCAAAGGGGGTGGGATGGATGGTAAGAACCATGTGATATCTGGGACATTTAAATTTAATACATCATTTTCTTTGTAACAGGTTAGTGGTTACCTGGATGATTGTACCTGTGATGTTGAGACCATCGATAAATTTAATAACTACAGACTTTTCCCAAGACTACAAAAACTTCTTGAAAGTGACTACTTTAGATATTACAAGGTATTTTCAATTTTTTTATGATTTATCTATTATGTATACAGTGTTTTGCCTGTATGTATGTCTGCAAGCCTGAAGAGGGCACCAGATCTCATTATAGATAGTTCTGAGCCACCATGTGGTTGCTGGGAATTGAACTCAGGACCTCTGAAAGAGCAGCCAGTGCTCTTAACCTCTGAGTCATCTCTCCAGCCTGGGGAAGTTTCAATTTTTATGTAAGTATGCTATAATGGATGGTTATATTTTCATAGATGACTACACTGTTATTGAAATTGGTACTTATTTAAATGTGTACAAAGTTGAAAAAATTAAAGAAAATTCAGTGAGCTGATGTGGTAGCGCACTCCTAAAATTCCAGCATTCAGGAGGCAAAAGCAGACAGATCTCTGTGAGTTTGAGACCAGCCTGGTTCCAGGACAGTCAGACAGCACAGAGAAACCCTGTCTAGAAAAACAAAACAAAAAATATAGTGTTTGCGTGTTTTCGTATACAGGTGTGCATGCCCTGGTATGCTTGTGGAGGTAAGATGCCAGCTTCAAGAATTGCCTCTCGCCATTCACCTTTATGGTGGTTGGCTCACAAGTGAGCTGTTTGGTTGAGAAACCACCGTGTGTGTGTGTGTGTGTGTGTGTGTGTGTGTGTGTGTGTGTGTGTGTGTGTGTGTGAGCACCTGTGCCTGAGGAGACCTGAGGACAGCTACGGGTGTTGTTGTTTCTCAAGCACAGTCCACTTTTTTTTTCCAGACTTGGTTTTTCACTGGCCTGAGCTCTGTCTGACAGGCTACACTGGTTGCTTTCTGTAACCCTGTCTCTGAATCCCCAGCTCTGGGATTGCAAGCATGGGTCACCATAACTTCTGGGAAGTAAATTCATGTCCTTGTAAACTCATACCAGTGGAATTCTTCACAGCCCTGATACTTTTTTTTTTTTTTTTGGTTTTTACGAGACAGGGTTTCTCTGTGTTGTTTTGGAGGCTATCGGTCCAGCCTGACCTCACAGAGAATTCACAGAGATCCGCCTGCCTCTGCCTCCTGAGTGCTGGGATTAAAGGCATGCACCACCACCGTCCGGCCACAGCCCTGATACTTTTAACTTCAATAATTACTAGAGCTAGAAATGAACCGGCTAAATTGAAGTTAAAATAGAAATTGCTATATTGTTCTTAACATATTGGTTTGTCAGCTGTCAGGTGGGCTCCAATTAAGACAAATAATTTTTTTTTTGGAGAGGAGGCATTTTTGGACTTACTGAACACTTATAGTATCTGATCATGAGAACACTACAGAAAAAGCTTCTAAAACCTGACCCACAGTTCCTTCCTGTTTTCTGCCTGTTATTCTGGCCTAAGTGGGGGATGGGCAGTGTGAGTTTGAGCCCCAACTCCCAAGTGCCATTCGCACAAGGCCTGTTTGGGGTCTGTGCCTCTCTAACCAGGCTTACTGGTTTATACCAGTCACACATTTATACAGTGAGTGAAACTTGACCAGTAACGAGAGAGACCGTGTAGTCTCTGATAAACCATCGCCACAACCTGGGATCCTGATTCCAGCAGTCAGTTGCATTCTCAGGGCTTTACCGTTTCATGACTTTCAATTCTCTTACAGGTAAACTTGAAGAAGCCATGTCCTTTCTGGAATGACATCAACCAGTGTGGAAGAAGAGACTGTGCTGTCAAACCCTGCCATTCTGTAAGAACTGTCCCGGGTGTTTCCATTCTTTACCCATTTTCAGAGGGCCACTACTAATCAAATTATGATTTGATCCTGTTTAAATATAGCATCCATTTACATGTCATAAACCTAAACTTATGTTATCTACTTGTGTGTGTGCTGATGCATGGAGTGGCATGGAGGTTAGAGGCTGACTTCAAGGGGCTTCCCCTGTCACTTTCCACTTCTGAGATGCAGCTTCTCATCGAACTGTGGCTCACTGCCCCTCCAGCTCTGGGACTGCAGAGGTGGCCTGCAGCCTGGATTCATTCTTCGTTCTCTCTTTCTTTCTTATGTATACAGTATTCTGCCTTCATGTCTGCCTGCTGGCAAGAAGAAGGCACCAGGTCTCATTACAGATGGCTGTGAGCCACCATGTGGTTGTTGGGAATTGAACTCAGGACCTTTGGAAGGGCAGTCAGTGCTCTTAACCTCTGCGCCATCTCCCCAGCCCCGCAGCCTGGATTCTTACTCAGATGCTGAGGATCTAGACTCAGGTTCTCATGTTTGTGTGTGAGGCATTTTACTGAGGATCTAGACTCAGGTTCTCATTTTGTGTGTGAGGCATTTTACTGAGGATCTAGACTCAGGTTCTCATTTTGTGTGTGAGGCATTTTACTGAGGATCTAGACTCAGGTTCTCATGTTTGTGTGTGAGGCATTTTACTGAGGATCTAGACTCAGGTTCTCATGTTTGTGTGTGAGGCATTTTACTGACTGAGTCTTCTCCCAGCCCCATAAAATCTATCTTCATGGTACAATAATAATAGTAGTAATAATAACATAAGAATTATATATAATAATTATTATTACCGACACAGGATCTCTCACTATGTAGTCCTTGGTGGTCTAGAACTCACTAAGTAGATCAGGCTGTTCTTACATTCATAAGATCTGCCTGCCTCTGTCTCCCAAGTGCTGGGACTAAAGGTGTTCACCATTGTGCCATTTTTTTTAAAAGTAAAAATTAATTTTTTATGGTTATATACTTGTTTTGTATAGAGTCGAATTAATACGTTATTTGTTGTTGGTGAGGGAGTGGCATGCCTCTCACTTGGGAGGTCAGAGACAAGTTGCTGGGACGGGCCCTCTCTTCCTACTGTGTGGTTCCAGGGACTGAGCTCAGGCGCCAGATCCTTTGTCCCCTGAGCCGTCTTGCTGGCCCTGTACCTTCTTAAAATTTTTTTATTTAAGGTATTCTTTCCACTTTGGTTTCTTCACTGCCTATCAAGGTAATGCAATCTTTTGATTTATTAGAGAGAAGATTAATTGTTCTTAGGGCTTGATGTTTGTTTTCCTTTTGAAGTTTGAAGTACTCTTCTGTGAAAGCAGAGACTTGCTTTTTTCACACTTTCAAATGATGCAGGTGGGGACTGGAGAGAGGGCTCAGCAGTTAAAAGCACTGGCTGCTCTTCTAGAGGTCCTGAGTTCAATTCCCACACTTTCAAATGATGCAGGCTTTACAAGTATATAGGACCAGGGATGTAGCCCAGGGGCGGAGCTCTTGTCCAGCATGCATGAGGCCCTAGGGCCTGACACCGAGCACCACCAAAAATGTCTGTATTTTCATTTCCCATTTCACTTGACCACTTCAGGCTGACCTTAAGTACATGCATATTGGGTAGCCATCTCTGCTGCCCATTTCTGATCCTCCTCACACACTGGACCCTGCTGCTTAAAGACTAACCCAGCCCGTCTCATCCTTGGTCACCCCCATTCTATTTCACTTAGTACATTGATTTTTTTTTTTTTTTTTTTTTTGGTTTTACGAGACAGGGTTTCTCTGTATTGTTTTGGAGGCTGTCGGTCCAGCCCCACCTCAAACTCACAGAGATCCACCTGCCTCTGCCTCCCCAGTGCTGGGATTAAAGGCATGCGCCACCACCACCTGGCATAGTACATTGATTTTAAGTAAAAGATATCATAACGTACATCAGAATTCTATTCTGAGTGAATGAGTTTATTGCTGAATGTCTAGATTTATATCTATTATATACATCCGTTAGTGTTGTACTATATACACCAATACATATCCACTCGTCTGCTGCTGTTCAATACATCTGTACCACTGAGGCATGTCTCCAGCCTTTAAGATTTTCTTAGTATACATCTATAAGTGGGTTTGATGGATTGTGTGGTAATTATACATTTTGAGGAATTACAAAACTGTCTTCCGTAGTGATTGTAGCATTATGTTTTTATCAGTGGCACCCAACAGTTCCCATTTCTCCACTGCTCAAAAGTTCCACTACCTTTCAAGGTGTCTCCTGGATGCCAGCTTTTAACACTTGGGCCTTTTGGGAATGTTCAAAGCACAGCAGTTATTATGTGAAAATCTGCATATGATTAAGATACTCTCAGTTTAAATATTTAATTTGTAAGTTCTTATACTTATGTTATTTTGTTGTTGTTGTTTTTCCGAGACAGTGTTTTTCTCTGTGTAGCCCTGCTATCCTGGGACTCTCTCTGTAGACCAGACTGTTTTCAGATTTACAGAGATCACCTGCCTCTGTCTCCTGAGTGGTGGGATTAAAGGCATGCGCCACCACTGCCTGGCTCAGTTACATTTTTGATATTAGTAAAATAGCAACAGGAAAAAAATAGTTGGGGAAATTTAAGTGTTCTAGTGTCTGAGGAATTGTGGTAAGATGTGGTAGACTCAGCTTTTTCAGGATGAGGGCTTGCCTGTGAGTTCAGTAGTCTCGTTTCTTAGGCTGATAGAATGCTTGCCCTTTTAAAAACCTGTTGAAGGCTGATGGCTTCTGGGGGAGGGGCAGCCATTGCCTTCACTTTTACCCACTGAAGAGCCCAGTAGGCTCCAACTCAGTCCTGACCCTCAGTCCTACAGATGTCCTGGTTAAACTCAGTGTGTCTCCAAAAAACAAAATCATGAACATGGGGAGGGGAGTAAAAGATGGAGAAGTGATAATAGAATGCTTGTTATATGTATATGAATTTTTTTCATAAAAAATTAATAATAAAAGTCAAAAAGAAAAACCTAACATTCCCACCTCAGAATATTCTCATATTATTATTATTATTTTTTTTTTTGGTTTTTCGAGACAGGGTTTCTCTGTGGCTTTGGAGGCTGTCCTGGAACTCACTCTGTAGACCAGGCTGGTCTCGAACTCACAGAGATCCGCCTGCCTCTGCCTCCCGAGTGCTGGGATTAAAGGCGTGCGCCACCAACGCCCGGCATATTCTCATATTATAAATATGAGATTGGCACAGAAATGCCATGATTCAGAAAGATGACATAGTCTTAGAGGCGTGAGAGAGGAGGTGAAGACACTGGTAAAGATACCAATTAGCATGTGATTTGAATAATGGATATTCTGTGTAGGCATGCAGGGTGCTGAGTCTTGGGTATACAAGCTTAGCTCTGCCCTTGAGTTTTTGATTTAGTAGAGAGGAGAAGCACTAAACTGACCCTTTCAACACATATCCCAGTCCAGTTACAAAGTGTCTGAGCTGTAAATGGTAAGAACAGAAAGCTGGAATCAGAGGCCCTCAAGTGACACTGAGGGAATGAAATATTTCCACTCCCTGCAGACAAGCCTGGGCTTTATCCTAGCACTTCCTAATACGGTGAATTATAGGGACCCAGATGTGGCTAAAGAGCGTGCCTGGGCCAGGTGTGGCGGCCTTTAGTCCCAGCACTCGGGAGGCAGAGGTGGCGGTCTACAGAGTGAGTTCCAGGACAGGCTCCAAAGCTACAGAGAAACCCTGTCCCGACACCTCATCCCCCCCCCCCAAAAAAAAGAAGAAAAGAAGAAAGGGAGGAAAAGGGAAGGAGAGGGAAAGAAAAAGGAATGGATTTGGGATGTTTGCCACAGCCTAGTCGGCCCCTCTACTGCATTTGTATTGTGTACCACAGGAGTGAGAGAGAGAATGCTGTAACCTTTCTTTTTTATTTTTCAAGACAGGGTTTCTTTGTGTAGCTCTGTAGGCCAGGCTGGCCTCAAACTCACCGAGATGCGCCTGCCTCTGCCTCCCGAGTGCTGGGATTAAAGGAGTGTGCCACAACTGCCCGGTTGCTTGTACTCACTTTTATATTTCCGCGATACAGTACATGATCAGCAATCGATGGGCCTTGAATTTTATTTGCTCACTTTTTGAGAGAAGATCTTATTTCATAGCTCTTGCTACACAGACCAGGCTGGTCTGACACAGATGGCTATTGGACGGCTAGGATTAAAGCTGTATGCTACTACACCTGTTGAATTTTTATTTACTTTAAAGAACTTACTTAAAATTTCCTAACTCTTCTCACTTGAAGTGAAGATAGTCCCCAGTAATTTGTGAATTTAAGTAATAAGAATTTAAAGTATCTTTTCCGAAGATAAAATAAATGTGTTTCTCTTTCAGGATGAAGTTCCTGATGGAATTAAGTCTGCAAGCTACAAGGTATGCACATACACTCACTGATGTAACCGTTGTTGTTTACAAGAGTCTTGGAAAATCCTTTCCCTGCTGTCTGCAGTGAGATAACCTTGAACGTTACTTCATATTCAATAGCTTTTGCTCCTTTAAAAAAAGTATATAAGACATTTAAGTAAAAGTAGTGGAAGGAAATCTACTTACCCATTATCCAGCAGTTACTATGATGTCCAGGTTTGCTTCGTGTGGATTTCCTACTCCCATTTCCCTACCATGTTAAGGCCAAACCCAGATAAATCATTTTGTTTAAGATCAATGCAAAATTAGAACATTTCAGAATTAAGTTAAATGCCATTCAAAATTTTCTCAAAGAATAGAAGTTATGAAACATTTTGGTTAAAACATCACACTTGTTTATATATAATGAGTATTTTCTAGGTTAGAAATTATCTGCAGAGAGGAGTCAGCTGAGGTTATTGGTAATTTCAGATAGATTAATCATAAAATACAGTTTTGAAGAAGACTGTGATCAGTTTTATAGAAAATTTAAAATAATAAACTATTGGGAAAAATGGTCTTCAGAAACATTTCCATAACCTAGTAAAGTGATAAATGTAATTAAGAAGCTGAATAAATTACTAAATGGTACTAAAAAGTTTAAAAGTTTTTGTTTATATATACGTATATATAAACAAACTTTTATATATATATATATATAGGCATATGATGCTTTTTTGAGTAAATTTAAAAGCATGGTAAGTTGTTTGGTATGTGTATGCATGTGCATATGGCAAGCTGGGCACCGTCTTTCAGACTAGCTGGTTCTTGAATTTCTGGTCATGTCTGTCTCTGCCTTACGTCACTGTAGGGGTAGGCTTGCATGACAAGGGTGTCTGTCTACCTGTTGGACCATCTCTCAGGGTCTTTGATGTTTGTTTGACATTTTGTTTCCTTTTTCTTTTTCTTTTTTTTTTTAAGACAGGGTTTCTCTGTATTGTTTTGGAGGCTGTCCTGGAACTCACTCTGTAGACCAGGCTGGCCTCGAACTCATAGTGATCTACCTGCCTCTGCCTCCTGAGTGCTGGGATTAGAGGTGTGCGCCACCAACGCCGGGCAAGTAATTTCTAACTTATAGCAAAATTGTAAGATTAACATAAAACATTTTGTATACTGTAGTTCCTGATGTTTACATATTTCAGCACATTTGTTTTGTCATACTTTTCTATGTAGATATTCTGAGCCATTTGATTGCAGGTCAAGTAGATTGTATGTCTTTGATATTTAACTATGTATAAAAGAATTTGAGTTTCAAGAAGGTCTTTTAGCCGGGTGGTGGTGGCGCACGCCTTTAATCCCAGCACTCGGGAGGCAGAGACAGGCGGATCTCTGTGAGTTCGAGGCCGGGCTGGACCAATAGCCTCCAAAACAATACAGAGAAACCCTGTCTCGTAAAAACCAAAAAAAAAAAAGAAGCTCTTTTAAAAGTGGAACTGTCTTATATATTAATTAATATAATGAAGCACAGTTGTCAGTCAATAGATATATATTAAAAAAAATCCGGTAACTTCAGTTATTTAATGTTTAGTCATTTTGGTACTTTCAGTATCCTAGAGTGGACAGAAATCCTGTGGTCATCCTAACAAGGCTGTTGTAGGTGTTTATTTATGGCCTCCTGATTCTGGTCTTATCAAGCTAATGTATCAATGTTATCAAGTCTCATGAGCTTGGTCTGCGCTGTGCACACACCTGCTAGAAAAACCTGTACGCATGCATGTTAGACAGACATCAGGAAGAAATAGGGTAGGCAAAGCGTGCGTTGTAAATCCCTAGAACCATTAGCATAGCTCCTATAAGGTGCTCTTGCAGCCATGCCGTGGGAAGGAGCTGAGTCGCACCATCTGGTACCACCACGCCGTCAGGGAAGAGGAAGCCAGCACTTATGGTCAGGCCACTGGGACTCTGCCTTCTGATGTCACGTGACTTCCATGTTCCTCAGAAATTCTCCAAGTGCACATCTCAGTTGCTGTTTGTCAGCCAGATATTCTTTAATTTGTGAACATAATAGTAAATTCTGTTTTCGACAAAAATGAGAAGCAAAAAATCCTTTCACCTACTTTTTGGTTTTAAGAGGCTTATTTTATGCAGGGTGTAGGCAGAGGTGGGCAGGTCTGTGAGTTTGAGACCAGCCTGGTCTACAGAGTGAGTTTCAGGACAGCCAGAACTACACAGAGAAACCTTGTCTCGATAAAACAAACAAACAGAGCTCACTTTGTAGGTTTGGAGCTACAGGCAGGTAGCATGAGCCTTGGCTAACTTTTAATTCCTGAAAAATGTTGCTTAAGGCTGCTTGGCTCATGCCTGTAATCCCAGCATTCGGGAGGTTAAAGCAGGGAGGTTATGTGACTCTGTCTCAACAGCAGAAGTGGAGGCAGCAATTAATTAAAATGTAGGAAATCTGTTTGTTTTCTGTCTGTTTAGTATTCTGAAGAAGCTAACCACATTGAAGAATGTGAACAAGCTGAACGGCTTGGAGCGGTGGATGCATCTCTAAGGTCATTTGCTCTTTGAGCTAGTTTTGTTTTTCTTCGTCATAGTTGACTGGGAAAATGAATAATGCAATTTTCCTTATTTGAAGTGAGGAAACCCAGAAGGCTGTTCTTCAGTGGACCAAGCATGACGATTCTTCAGACAGCTTCTGTGAAGTTGATGGTATGATGTTTGTTAATGTGTGCATCAAGTTCCCAATAACCTCCCTCCCTCCCTCCCTCCCTCCCTCCCTCCCTCCCCTCCATCCCTCCATCTCCTCCCTCCCTCCAAGTTGTATTAAGCATTAAACTCAGGCTTTGGATATGCTAGGCCAGTGCTGCTCCAGATGCCGCCCCTCAATTCTTTTTAGTTATTTTAAAATCTCAGTACTAATAGTGTGATGGGTCCTCAGAAAGCTACACATAGAGTCATGGGACTTTACAGTGGCATTCCTAGGTATGTAACACACAAGAATCGGAGAGCGACTCAGACAGGTAGACCAGTGTTTGTTCATAAGAGACACAAGCTAAATGGTCTGTGTGTCTATCACTAGATGCAAAGATAATTGAAATGTGTTATGTACATATCATACACATACACATGAATACTACTGAGCCATGAGGAGGAGGGAGCTTCCAACAAATGCTCCATTGTGGCAGAGCCCTGGAAACATGGTGGGTGAAAGAAGCCGGACACAAAGACAAGTGTGGTGTGAAGAATACACTTGGGAACTGTCTGGGACCGGCAAACTCAGAGCAACAGAAAGTAGATTAGCGGTTAGTGGCACGCGGAGAGTCAGTTGTTAAATGATCATTGTTTCTCTTCAGGGCTATGGAAAAGTTTTGGAAATAGAAAGTGGCAATGATCACACTGCATTGTGAGTGTAACTCACGGGTCACTGAATATGGTGGAAATTGCTAATTTCATTCTGTATTTTTACCACAGTAAAAAGAAAATTAAAATTAGTTTCTGTAAAAAAAAAACCTTACCTCTTATGTTTTGCAGTTTTATGTATCAAGTAGTTTACAGTTCTGTATCTTTTGCAATTTGCAAAAGTAGCTAAACTGCAGGAATGAGGAAAACGTCTTTTGTAAATGCTGCTGGACCATTAACCTTTTCTGTGATGCTGGTCTCTGTGGTTTTGGTGCAAAGAATATTGAACCATGACATCATGTCTGCAGCTGGTGCTGAAATTGGTAGCTAGGCCTTGGATCAAGATTTATTGATCTAATTCTTTTTCTAGTGTCTTTTTTTTAAAAAATTGAATTGTTGACCTCTGAATTGGCCAAGCAAAATTAAATCATATTTGAATTTTGATATTCGTCTATGACTCTTTAATAGTGGACCAACGAACTTCTACAACATTAGCGAAAAGAGCTAGGTATTGATGATAGACACCTTTAATTCCAGCACTGCAGGGGCAGGTGCAGAGGCAGTGGGTCTTTTGGGTTCCAGGACAGCTAGGGCTACATAGTGAGACCCTGTCTCAACCTGCGCCTCCCCCCTTAAAAAAATAACTTTTAAAAATTCTGTTGTGGGGAGGAGAGTTTTCTGTAGTGGGATACATGCCATGTTTTGACATATGTGTCTCGTCTATGTGATTGTAGTGTATTTTTCTTTATTGTTTTCTTTTTGATTTTGCTTTTTGAGACAGGGTTTCTCTGAATAGCCCTGGCTGTCCTAGAACTCACTCTGTAGACCAGGCTGGCCTCCAACTCATAGAGCTCTGCCTGCCACTGCCTCCTGAGTGCTGGGATTAAGACTTGCACCATCACCACCCAGCTCTTTCTCTTTTCTCCTGCTCAGGATCAAATGCAGGTTTTGCCTGTCTGGGCGGCTGTTTACCTACTAAGCATCACTCTCGTCATTATCGCTAGTCAGTGCTGAGCTGTGTGCTAACATGGATGGAAACATTCATTGTTTGGACAAATTGTGAGCACTGATTCACATGTTTTCTTAAACTCTAAAATTCACTTATGCCTGTTCTTACCACTTACAAGGTCAGGGGTTTTTTGCAAACATTGTGTACAGTGAATGTGGCTGTTTGTTTCTCCCTATTTTCTTTCTCCTAAAACGTTGTTCTGAAATAGGAAAGATTTGGTGAAATGTTTTATCTTGTAGACATACAGTCCCCCGATGCTGAGTATGTGGATTTACTCCTTAACCCTGAGCGCTACACAGGCTACAAGGGACCAGATGCTTGGAGGATATGGAGTGTCATCTATGAAGAAAACTGTTTTAAGTATGCATTATTTTCTCAGACTTGTGTAGACTAGGTTCATGTCCTTAAGAGATTGATTTGGACATAGAAACTTAAATGTCATAAATCACATTCCCCCTGGGGCACTGGCTGCAACAAATACTTCTTTAAAGACTTAGGTAATATTATGGGCTGGAGAGGTGGCTCAGAGGTTAAGAGCACTGGCTGCTCTTCCAGAGGTCCTGAGTTCAATTCCCAGCAACCACATGGTGACTCACAGCCATCTGTAATGAGATCTGGTGCCTTCTTCTTGCTGTAGGCATACATACAGGAGGAACACTGTATACATAATAAATCTTAAAAAAAAAAGAGACTTAGATAATATTCTATCTTTTTAGGATGGGAACCACTGAGCAAACATGCCTGAGTGGCTTACAGGATCTCTTTATGCAGATGAAGTAATTCCGAACCAGGGGCTTTGCTTCATTTACCACAATCACTATAGCCAGTGGTGGGGTATAGCTGAGAATCTACAGCTTAAGGTTCTCTTCGTTCTCCCCTGCTCCCCTTTCTGTGGTTGCAGTAATTTGGTCCTCTAAAAGTTAAGCTGATTTCAGAGAGCAGCTCTGAGGTGATGTCTTTGTGTCCTCACTGTAAGCTATGCCACAGACTTGCTCCTCTAGTTCTCGTGGTTAACAGTTTATTATAGTCATAAGTGCTTGCTGATGGAGATCCAAGACAAAGCTAGGCATTTGTTCAGTGCCTACGGGAAGCTCCCCTTTGTGTCCTTAATCAGTGTGATGGGCGTTGGTCATTGGGTGACTGAGAAATGCGTAGGGTTCTTCACTTGGAAATCTGAAGGCTCCGAAGAATGTACCAGCTAACTTTGGGGGAAAACCTGTGTGTGCATGTGTGTTCAAGTGCATGCGTTTGTGTGATTCTTTCAGGGACAGAAGCTCTGCATGATAACACATTTCACTTTCTAAGTCAGACATAATTATAACACTGTTGGTAACGCTGGTGTTCATACAGAGCAATTCTTTTGTTTGTAGGCCACAGACAATTCAAAGGCCTTTAAATCCTTTGGCTTCTGGTCAAGGTGAGTTATTTGCATCTTCTATTGTTTATTGGCTAGTGAACTTGGGTTAGGGTGGAGAGGAAGGAAAGGTTAGTGGCAAGGGCAGTTGAGGTCATGTAGTTCACGGGTCCTGTTTCCAGACAAGTTATGTCTCACTCTTGTGAAGGCTCAGCTATACTCCCTAAGGATATTCGTGGTGTTAGGCCATTGTAATATGAAGATTAGGTTATGTATTTGCTGTCTGTTTTTGTAACACACTAAGTAGTTGTTTACTTCAGTTTTATTTATCCTCCAAATAAATGAATATCCCAAACGTTTACCTAATTTTTCAAATAAAGTTCTGTCAGGCTTTTGCTTGTATATTATGGCTTCTGCTTATTTTTTTTAAGTTTTTCTTTTTCTTTCTTTTTTTTTTTTTTTATACGGGAATCCTTTTTTGGGGGGAAGAGGGTTCGAGACAGGCATAGATCTGACTGCCTTGGAACTCTCTGTAGACCAGGCTAGTCTCAAATTCACAGAGATCCTTCTGCCTCTGCCTCTTGAATGCTGGGATCAAAGGTGTGTGCCACTACCGCCTGGCTCTTTCTGGGAATTCTATGTGTATGAATGTGTGTGTCTGTGTCTATATGTGTTTCTTACTCTTTTTATTTGGGGGTGGGGCTCTTTTTATCTGTTTTGTCCTTTTCGGTCTTATTTCTTTTTTATTTTAACCTATCTTAGTATTTTTATATGCCTTTTTGTTGTCTAATGTGAGAGAACAAGAAAGGGTGTGGATTTGGGTAGGTGAGGGAGGGGGGAGGGTCAGGGAGGAGTTAAGGGAGGGGAAACCATGATCAAAAAGTATTTCTTGAAAAATATTTTTCTATAAAAATATAACCTAAAAAATGAAAATGGGGAAAAAAATGAAGATATTTCAGGAGTAAGTAAGCAGCTGCATACAAACTGCTGCATTGTGAAGCATTTGAATTTTATAGTGTTTGAAAACATTCCCAAGGTGAAACCTTCTGTTGGTCGGGCATTCAAAGCAGCGGTAATACAGACCTTTAACAAGAATTACGTTGTAGCATTAGAATAATAAACGTTCTAAAAGACTGCTGTCCAAATAGCACGAGGGCTTCAGACAGCTGCCCACTGAGAGCACATGTGAACCTGGGAGCCTGAGCTACGGCTGGGCGGGGACAGAGTTGTGGCTGTGGGGCCCCTTCTATTGACTTTACTGGTGTGGATGCACTGATGAATTAAAACGAATCATTGCCAATGTATTAATTTCCTGTAATTGTAGCATTGCAGAAGTAGTTTATAATAATTACTGTTTTTTGTTTTGTTTTTCAGGAAAAAGTAAAGGTTTGTATCTTTATCATGCATGATATACATCAGATCTGCTTGCGTGTTCACATATGTGCTGTAGTGTGTATTGTGGCACACTGCATTTCTTTGCATTTCCTCTGACACCCAGAACATCTCCTCCTCTTGTTATGTAGAGATATCTATAGCCCAGGAGCTCCTTGTCCTCGCCCAGTTTATGTCTTACAGCATAACTCTGAAACCAGAGTGACAGAGCTTTAGTGTCAGTAGATCACAGAACAGGAGCAAGGGGCTTAGCACTGCTCTATTCTGGTGCTCTTTGGATGGAGTGAATTGCACGAAATTCTGTTTATTCTTAACTTGAAAGTATGTCAAAGTCCTTACTTTTTAAAGCATAGATTGCTAGGAAAACTTAGCTAGTTAAGCAGTCTTGCTAGATTTAGTGTGTGTGTGTGTGTGTGTTACTTGTGGGATTGAACCCAGGAGTCATGAACTTGGTAACCAAGTGATGTACCACAGAGTGACATCCCTCCAGACTCCCAGTTCTACAGTTTGACCACTATTAGGAGAGAGCGTCTAACTAAGGGGCCGAGCAGTGCTTACCTGTATCTACATCCAGTCTTTTCCTTTGAAGAAATTGTAAGATTTGGACCATTAGCTGGAATAGTCTTTAAAACACTTGAAAATTTACATTTTGGTGTTATGAAAAAAATTGTGACTTATTTTTCTTCTCATTTCAGAGAATACTTTTTACAGCTGGCTAGAAGGTAAATTAGAAACTTTTAAACAAATTTAAATGGTAAATTTTTTCATTTTTAAAGTCATAAAATCTTAAATTCCCAAGATTCACATACAAAATTTTATTTCTGAACCATTGATTTCTTTTAGGCCTCTGTGTAGAGAAGAGAGCATTCTACAGGCTTATATCTGGTCTACATGCAAGCATTAATGTCCATTTGAGTGCACGGTATCTTTTACAAGGTATGTACTTTTAAAATCTTTTGTACACTTGTCTTTAGATAGTCTCACCATTTTCATGGTGTTCGCCTGGGTGGAAAAGCAGACTTGCTTGGCTGTTGGGCAGGAAGAACCCACTCGTAAATGGCGGGGACTAGGGCTGTAGAAGCTGCGTGCAGTGGGTGCCTCCGTATGTTCTTAACTCCCTCGAAATTACACACATTGCGAGTTCGAGGCCAGCCTGGTCTACAAAGTGAGTTCCAGGACAGGCTCCAAAGCCACAGAGAAACCCTGTCTCGAAAAACAAAAAACAAAACAACAAACAAAACAAAACAAAAAAAAGAAATTACACCCATTGCTTTGGAAATGCTGCTTTGTTGACTGCGGAAATGAGGCTGTGTCCGACAGCACAGTGTGTTACTGCACGAGGGCCTTTATTTCCGTGTAGCAACAGCTCAGTGTGTTACTGCACGAGAGCCTTTTTTTCCGTGTAACAGCAGCTCAGTGTGTTACTGCACGAGAGCCTTTATTTCCGTGTAACAACAGCTCAGTGTGTTACTGCACGAGAGCCTTTATTTCCGTGTGGACTTCCGTGGCCACAGTATTGTCTTCTGTTCATCATGGTTTAGGATGCTGGCGGAAATTGAAAACCTTTTCCTCAGCAGCTTATTTCTTCTGAAGTTGGGAAGTATTTTTCCTTTCAGAAATAAAATGGTAACTCTGATTTAAAATGCTGCTTTAAATTCGTTAGTAATTTCAGATCGTAATTCCAAAAATTTTGTTTTTGTTTCTCATTACACATGTCTGTGGGGGTGTGGGAACAGGTGGCTCAGTAGCCGGGGCTAGCCCACTCGTTCAGGGTTACAGGCAGTGTGAGCTGCCATGGATTCTGTGAGAATAGGTGGCTCAGTAGCTGGGGCTAGCCCACTTGATCAGCGTTACAGGCAGTGTGAGCTGCCATGGATTCTGTGAGAACAGGTGGCTCAGTAGCCGGGGCTAGCCCACTTGATCAGGGTTACAGGCAATGTGAGCTGCCATGGATTCTGGGCACTGGAGTTAGGTCCTCTGGACGAGCAGCGCATGCTCTCAACTGCTCAGCCACCTCTGCAGCTTATCAAGTCTTTTTTTAATTACATATTTTGATTTTATAATTGTTGATACTCAGAAATTTGATTTTTATCAAAAACCTGTTTTGCCTTTAAGAATGGGTTACAGAAGACAACATTCTTACTACAGAATTTCTGAATTTTTATTTATTTTTGATGTGTGGTCTCACTATGTAGCCTTGCCTGTCCTAGAACAAGCTGGCCTCGAACTCACAGAGATTTACCTGCCTCTGCCTGGAATTAAAGGTGTACATCACCATGTCAGGTTTATGATGGGATTTCTAAAGGCTAAATTATAAATAATTTTTTTCTTGGTTGAATTATGTTTTGTTTTTGTTTTTTGTTTTTTTTTGGTTTTTACGAGACAGGGTTTCTCTGTATTGTTTTTGAGGCTGTCGGTCCAGCCTGGCCTCGAACTCACAGAGATCCGTCTGCCTCTGCCTCCCGAGTGCTGGGATTAAAGGCGTGCGCCACCACCGCCCGGTGAATTATGTTTTTTAAGCTACAAAATGCAGTTGACTTCTGTAAATATAAGTAGCCCGTTATGGTTAAAATGAGAATTCCTTAAGTGTACACTTGAATCGTTCAGACACTTGGCTGGAAAAGAAGTGGGGTCACAACATCACAGAGTTCCAGCAGCGCTTTGACGGGATTTTGACCGAAGGAGAAGGTCCGAGGAGGCTGAAGAACCTGTATTTCCTCTACTTGATAGAGCTAAGGGCTCTGTCTAAAGTGCTTCCATTTTTTGAGCGCCCAGATTTTCAGCTTTTCACTGGAAATAAAGCTCAGGATGCAGAAAACAAAGTGTTACTTCTGGAGATCCTTCATGAAATCAAGTAGGTCTATAGATACAATGTATACATCAAAGCATAAGTGAGGGGAGGTGTCCGAAGGAAACCCTGCATTATTTAGTTAGAGAAGGAAACGTCTTTAAAATGATGTAACTATAGTTCTGTTCATTGGGCTTTTAGGTTTTTGGCTTTTGACATGGTCAGATTCTCCTGCCTCAGCCTCCTGGGTGCTGGGAGTGTAGGTGTGCATGGCCACATTGGGCCTATCCAGATCTTCTAGAATATCTTGGTTTGCTGTAATCTGTGTATCACAACCTCTTTTTTTTTTTTTTTTAAGTTCTTAATACCAGCATTATTTTTATTTGCACAGTCTAAATTTGGGGCCAATCTTCTGATGCACTTAGCATTTAGATTTGAGGATAAGCATTTTGCATTGTTGGTGTTACTGATTTTTACTCTATTTTAACTATATTATTTGTCACTGACTTTCAACACTTACAATATGTGAACATGACCCTTCTTTGTTTAAAACACAGGTCATTTCCATTGCATTTTGATGAGAATTCCTTTTTTGCTGGGGATAAAAATGAAGCACATAAACTAAAGGTAATTATACTTCAACTTAGTTCGGAGCAGCCTGGTGAGTGTGCAGGTGTGAGTGCAGACTCTCTGTACTGAGTGTGAGTGTGCAGGTGTGAGGGCAGACTCTACTGAGGGTGAGTGTTCAGGTGTGAGTGCAGACTCTACTGAGTGTGAGTGTGCAGGTGTGAGTGCAGACTCTACTGAGTGTGAGTGAGTGTGCAGGTGTGAGTGCAGACTCTGTACTGAGTGTGAGTGAGTGTACAGGTGTGAGTGCAGACTCTGTACTGAGTGTGGGTGAGTGTGCAGGTGTGAGTGCAGACTCTGTACTGAGTGTGAGTGAGTGTGCGGGTGTGAGTGCAGACTCTGTACTGAGTGTGAGTGTGCAGGTGTGAGTGCAGACTCTGTACTGAGTGTGAGTGTGCAGGTGTGAGTGCAGACTGTACTGAGTGTGAGTGAGTGTGCAGGTGTGAGTGCAGACTCTATACTGAGTGTGAGTGTGCAGGTGTGAGTGCAGACTCTGTACTGAGTGTGAGTGAGTGTGCAGGTGTGAGTGCAGACTCTGTACTGAGTGTGGGTGAGTGTGCAGGTGTGAGTGCAGACTGTACTGAGTGTGAGTGAGTGTGCAGGTGTGAGTGCAGACTCTACTGAGTGTGAGTGAGTGTGCAGGTGTGAGTGCAGACTCTACTGAGTGTGAGTGAGTGTGCAGGTGTGAGTGCAGACTCTGTACTGAGTGTGAGTATGCAGGTGAGTGCAGACTCTACTGAGTGTGAGTGAGTGTGCAGGTGTGAGTGCAGACTCTGTACTGAGTGTGGGTGAGTGTGCGGGTGTGAGTGCAGACTCTATACTGAGTGTGAGTGTGCAGGTGTGAGTGCAGACTCTGTACTGAGTGTGAGTATGCAGGTGAGTGCAGTCTCTACTGAGTGTGGGTGAGTGTGCAGGTGTGAGTGCAGACTCTGTACTGAGTGTGAGTGAGTGTGCGGGTGTGAGTGCAGACTCTCTGTACTGAGTGTGAGTGTGCAGGTGTGAGTGCAGACTCTGTACTGAGTGTGAGTGAGTGTGCAGGTGTGAGTGCAGACTCTCTGTACTGAGTGTGAGTGTGCAGGTGTGAGTGCAGACTCTACTGAGTGTGGGTGAGTGTGCAGGTGTGAGTGCAGACTCTGTACTGAGTGTGAGTGAGTGTGCGGGTGTGAGTGCAGACTCTGTACTGAGTGTGAGTGAGTGTGCAGGTGTGAGTGCAGACTCTGTACTGAGTGTGAGTGTGCGGGTGTGAGTGCAGACTGTACTGAGTGTGAGTGAGTGGCAGGTGTGAGTGCAGACTGTACTGAGTGTGAGTGAGTGTGCGGGTGTGAGTGCAGACTCTGTACTGAGTGTGAGTGAGTGTGCAGGTGTGAGTGCAGACTCTACTGAGTGTGAGTGAGTGTGCGGGTGAGTGCAGACTCTGTACTGAGTGTGAGTGCAGGTGTGAGTGCAGACTCTGTACTGAGTGTGAGTGAGTGTGCGGGTGTGAGTGCAGACTCTGTACTGTGTGGGTGAGTGTGCAGGTGTGAGTGCAGACTCTGTACTGAGTGTGAGTGAGTGTGCGGGTGTGAGTGCACACTCTTAGCACTGAGTGTCTGAGGAGGAGTCTAGTGGCTTTTGCTATTAGGGTGACTAATAAACAGGCATGTGGTATGTACTTCAGAACTGTTAGGGTAGAGCTAACGTTTACTACAAATGGGTATGTTCGGTTATGAACTTGTCACCTTGGTTTGACTGTTCCATATGAAATAATAAATATCAAGTGTCATAGCACCCCATCAGCAATCTGATTGTCAAATACATTTAAAATATAAATAGGCATTTGTGCTTAACACTGGGTCTTGACTTGTAGCTCAGTGGGTTTGCTGTAAGTGTAGCACTCTTCTCTTTTTCTCCTCGATGAAAGAACTAATTTAATCCACTTGCAAAGAATTCCGTTTGTATGTATGAGATCAGCTGTTGTTGCCTCTGTCCTCAGCTTGTTCTAGCCACAGAGACGACCTCAGTGCTTATGTAGCCCACAGCTGCCAGGAACTGGAGAGTGAGGCCGTCCCACAGTGAGGCTTCTCTGGCCAGGTCTACAGAGCAAGTTCCAGGGCAGCCAGGCCTGTTTGTTACACAGAGAAACCCTGTCTCGAAAACCAAAACCAAACCAAAAAGTCATCTCTCCTGTGCTGTTTTCAGTATGCTCCTGACTTCTCCTTTACCTGCTGGTGCTGGACAGTGTTTTGGCATCAGCTCTCTTTAGACTGTACAAATTAGAAATATTTCTTGAGTGTTTTGATTTAATCCGAATTCCAGAACACTCGGCTTTTATGTGCTTTGAAGTTTATGTATAACTCTTATAGAAAAAAGAGTTTATAGGAAAATAAAAAATTTTTATAGTGGATTTACTTTTAAATGCGTTCTGGTAAACATAGATTTGAATATTATAATTCATTTTGCTGGGTGGTGGCAGCGGTGCACACCTTAATCCCAGCATGTGGGAGGCAGAGGCAGGTGGCTCTCTGAGTTGGGGACCAGCCTGGTCTACAAGAGCTAGTTCCAGGACAGCCAGAGCTACACAGGGAAGCCCTGTCTCAAAAAACCAAACCAAACCAAAGCCAAAAAACCCCACTTTTGCATTGTGTACATTCTTTAGGTAAAGCGTGTGACACTGGCCCATCATACTTACATCCATTTGGACATTTGTGGGGCATATGCGTGAATCACTTATTCTCTCTCTAGATAGCTTGTCTACAGTCGGATTCTGTAGACCACTAGAACAGCTACTCATTGTCAGTAGTCCTTCAGGGAGCAGTTGGGCCTCAGAAGCCCCTTCTCCTGTAGTAGTTACATCATTTCTCCCTTTCCCTTTCTTCCCTTTAGCCCCTTCCTTGGCCCCATCCTTTGTTCCTCTCTAATTCATGGTCTTTTTGTCTTTGTGACCGTCACTCACACACCACAATGGCACACACACTGTTTAGTCTGCATAGTGTTGCTTGTGTGTATGCACATTCAGGGCTGGCCAGTGGTATTGGATAAACAACTAGACACTCATCCCTGGGGAGTTATTTCTCCCCAGCTTTTTTATATTTTTAAAGTCAAAGCCAAACACTAAAAGAAACTTACTATCAAATCGTGGAAACTGTCTACAGAAAAATTGGGTAGTTTTAAAAAAAGTTAATTTTTGAGGTGGTCTCATGTCTAGTGCAGGCTGGCCCCAAGCTTGCTGTGTGGGTGAGGGCGACCTTGAGATGACAGGTCTCCACCACCTGGGTTATGTAGTGATGGGGCAGAGCCACGGCCTTAGTTACGTTAGGCAAGCACTCTACCTGTCCTCTGAGCTGCATCACTATTCCCACAGGCAGTTTTATTTAAAAGTTTAAAGTTAGGGATGTCCTGTTACTGAACTGGTCCAGAAGTACCAAATGGAGAAAACTGTTCAAGAGGATAATTCACATTTATTTGGCCTTTGTACAAAACTAGTAAAGGTGAGAGATCTCAAGTCTTACTAAACAATTTGCATGTTACAACTGTTGCAGTCTCAGGCTGAATCCAGTTGCCGGGGATCCCCCTCTGAAGCAAATGCAAATGTCCTTTGGATGTGCTAGATTGCCTCTCTGCTCATGACTAGTTTTAGACCTGGGGTACTCATCTCATAATAAAAAAGTTATAGATACCAGGCACCAGCACTTGGGAGGCAGAGGCAGGTGGATCTCCGAGTTCAAGGCCAACCTGGTCTACAGAGTGAGTTCCAGGACAACCAGGGCTACGCAGAGAAACCCTGTCTCAAAAAAACAAAACAAATAAAAAAGTTAGACTAGTGAAATAATAGAAGTTTCTTCTGAAATATAGGTCAAATTTCTGCTTAAAATACCTGTAGTTCAGGGCTGGTGGGATGGCTCAGTGGGTAAAGGCAGTTGTAGCCAAGCCTGATGACCTGAGTTCAATCTCCAGGATCTTCAGCACCAACTCCCTGCAAGTTGTCATCTGACTTTCACACTTGTACACACACACACACACACACACACACACACACACACACACACACACACACACACCGAGTGGGTATGGAGGGGGTGAATAAAATCTAGTTTTTGAAGAAAAAATTAAAAACTACTGGTAGCTTGGGATTCCACTCTTAAGACCGGGACAGAATCACGTGGAGGACCTGCTATTAATTTTGACTCATGTAAAGAAAATGCCCTTGAGGACACAAACTGCATTTAGATGACTGGATGCATGCTGCTCTAATATAAACAGTGTAACACTCGGGAATATCACCCCAAATCCAGCATAGCAGTAGGGGGTAGGTACAAAAATGTGGGATGATATGTAGGCAGTTTCAGTTATATTAGTAATGATTTCTTTTAGCATATGTGACTATTAATTGTATCTTGTATATCAGCAATATGAGAAGAGAAATCTGAGTGGTTTTCCTAATCCGGGAAAGGAGAGCTGTACTTGAACTGTTATCAAGGCTCACCTTCCTCCTTTGTTTACCTTGTTAGGAGCCATCTAATCACACAACTCCAACATTGACGTATAAAATTACATGATTGTGTTTCTTTTTGGGGAGTGTGGATTTTGGAGTGAGACAGTATGGATCCTGGCCTGTTGTTTAACATGTCTGAGTCTTTTAAAGAAATTAATGAGGGGTAGATCATACTTAGTTTGTATTTGTGAGGCAGATTAAATGATAAGGAGGGGTCTTGGTGTGTGTAGATGCCCTGTGTACACTGCTCTGTTTGGTACTCTTGAGTACACTGTCCAGGGTTGAGCACGTGAAAATCACGAGGAGAACAATTCTTAGTTGATTACGTACATGCGCGACTTACATAAAGTTGTGTTACATTGTTTTAGGAGGACTTCCGGCTGCATTTCAGAAATATCTCGAGAATCATGGACTGTGTTGGCTGTTTTAAGTGCCGCCTGTGGGGGAAGCTGCAGGTGAGTCTGGCTCAGTCGTCTTCTTCACTCTGCTGAGACGCTTTCTTATTTGTCCTTTCTTCTTCTTTTGTTTCAGACTCAGGGTTTGGGCACTGCTCTGAAGATCTTGTTTTCTGAGAAACTGATAGCAAATATGCCAGAAAGTGGACCAAGTTATGAATTCCAGCTAACCCGACAGGAAATAGTATCACTGTTTAATGCATTTGGAAGGTTAGTGTTAATGTACTAACATTGTTTCTGCTAGCTAACTAAGTCTGACGTTAACAGGTACATTTTCAAGTAAAACTAGGAATGTCCTTTTTACTAAAATTGTCTCGTAGAATTATATGATCTGATAAAATACCTTAAAGAATATACAGACATACAGTTACTACTTAATTATTTCCATGTGTTGATTTTTATATTCATATTTAATTTGCTGACCGAATTGGGTACTGTTAAATAAATTTGTACATTATAATTATTTTGTACATTCATACATACATTTATACATGGTATTTTGTTTTGTTCTCACTATGTAGATCTCACTATGTAGCCCTGGCTGGTCTGGAACTTACTATGTAGAGCAGGCTGGCCTTGAACACAGAGATCTGCCAGCCTCTACCTCCTGGGATTAAAGGCATGTGTCATCAGACCCAGCTTATTTTAATTATCTAAAAGCATTTTATTGATATCATTTTTGAAGGGTATGGAAAGTCACAAATATTTCAGTGAACTTAGCATTATACAAAAGATTCATAATTCTTTAGAAGTAATTATTTTCTGCCAGAATGACTTGAGGAAAAGCACGAGAGAAGGAGGATATGTAACAGTTTTAAACGTGGCTCATGTAGCTCAGATTGACAACCCTTTCTCTTTCTCCAGTGCTGGGAACTGAAGCCTCGCATGCTAGGCAGCATTCTCCTATTCCCTCAATTAACATTTTTAAGGGCTACATTTTTTTCACTTAAAAATAATATTAAACATTTTAGGATTGAAATAATTGGCCTTAAAAATTATTTCTCTAGCATCCAGGAGCTTGACTGTTTGATTTAATTATGTGTTCTACTTTTATCATACTGGAAAGCAGAGTTAAAGTGCATGTAAAAGGGAACGTGCAAAAATATACAGAACAGATTTTACTATATATAAAAATGGGTGAAAACAGTTTGGTCAAAGCTATTCTCACCTTTTAAAGATCAATAGCTTTGATCTTTGTATATTAAGTACTAAATAAAGGCATATTAGTTATTCTACTCTTATGTTTCTGGACATTTAAATACTTATTTTAATGTTTCTATATTTCTGTGTTTGTATTATATATTTAATACAAATTATAAGTACACTTGTGAATACCTAAAATATTGAAGTATTTTATACTTACACACTTAATATATCATATACTAAATATTGATGTGCTTTAAATAGTATAGCTCTGGATATTTAAAATATATGTTTATATAATTTTATATGTATATAATTTAATAGTTCAGTATTAAAAGTTAGCTTGTTTGGATAATAGCATATTAGGTTTGCTTTTCCAGGTAAAAACTAAAGAATATAAGTAGATTTTATGTACCTTTCAATTTATTGAAATAAATTACTTTAAAATTTTTATATACTCTAAAAATGATTAACAGAAAATTCATGAAAGTGTTTTTGAGTGGAGTGTTTCTTGGTTACAGGATTTCTACAAGTGTGAGAGAACTGGAGAACTTCAGGCACTTGTTACAGGATGTTCACTGAGGAGGACAGGTGGAAATGTCCCTGTTTCTGGACAGGGGAGGCCAAACAGTGGAACCTCTCATTACAGCATGACCGCAAAGGCCAAACGTTTCTATAAAGCTGCTTTTGTAAAAGGAGAAATACATTGTTTTAAGTAAATGACGTTTTCAAAAATTGTGTTCATGTTTAGTATTATTGTGAATAAATGTATTTTGATAATGTACAAATTTTAATACTATACAAAGGTAAAACCACCAAACTCCCATATGATAAAGCTAGGTGAATTATGTCTTAAGCCTCTCAAATTAGAGTTGTATTTAAGAAATGGGATAAAAATAAATCTAAGGTAACTGTGGCCAGTGTTTGATAGTAAAACTCTAAGAGGCTCACCAATAAACCCAAGGTCAACAGCCTAAAAAACACCAATGCATTTTCATTTGCCTTGTTTGCAAAGAAAATACAGAACTCCTAGTTAGATTTGAATTTTAGATAAGCAACTAGTTTTCTTTTAAGTGTAGGTATGTTGTATGCAGTATTAGAGCTCTATTTATATTAAAAGTAATTAATTTGTTTTAAGTTCAGGTTTAACTGGGAGGCCTGTGTTTTCCTGGCTACCTTAAGATACACTGGTGTGCAACATTCCTTTCAGAGTTATATAGCTATTTTGATTGTGCTGTTTTGGTATGTAGGGAAGTAGAACAACTCAAAGGCACAGAAGATTTCTAAACATTGTAGAAAGATGAATAGATTATATATTTATTCTCATATTGCTTCCCCTAAAAGTAAAATTTTGGGGGAAATTTTATTTTTATATACTTTCAGATTTACAGAAAAGTTTCAAAAACAGTATAAAAAAATCTGTTTTACTCAAATTCACTGATTGTTCACCTGTGTTGTAACGTCTTACCCTTTCCCACACTGGGGATTGAGCCCAGGACCTCAGGCATGGTAGGCTAGCCCTCCAGCCCTGACCTGTATCCTCAGGCTTTGCTTTATCTTCTATGAGATGTAGATACCCTGTTTTTATTTATTGTTTGAGAACTAGTCATGGGCATCGTGCTTTAACCCAAAATACTTCAATGTGATGCTTGGGAATTTCCTAAAAATGATTTTTTAAGGGAAAAACAAAACCTTACAAATCTGAGCTAAACTACTATAAGCCTTAAAATAAGGAAACATCTCACGTCCTAGTCACCTAAAGTTTGAATTTTGTTCCCTTTTTACTTGTGTAATCATTGGGTATACAATTCATGTTTTTTATACATCAAACTGATTTCTTTTGCCTCCATAAAATGGGAGTATAACTTAGATGAGTTTTCATTAGTTAAAGTTTTTCACTGAGAACAATATTTTAAGGGGCTTAAGAATTTACATCACATGGCAATTATAAATTCTATGTACCTCAAAATTATGCCCCCTTTATATCATATATATAGTGTCTGCGCAGTTAGGACAGGTTGAGATGTCACATAAGAAAAGCAAGATTTATATATGTAATGGTTAGAAATGTCACTTTACACTGCTGTGTATCTTCTCTGTCCCTAAGACTTGGTCCAGTGCCAAGCTTATAGTTGTTGTCTAGTATTCATTGATTGAATATGTAAGTATGTATTTAGCATACTCTAAGTGAATGATCATATAACTGTTTAACAATGTGTCCGACTTTCTCATTTTTTTCCCTTTTGAATAGGGTAGCAAATGAAAGACGTCATTAATTAAGTCTGTTTTCTTAGGGACTCATAGTACTATGTGATTACCATATACAAAGGTATTTCAGCAGCTACTGTTTGAAAAACCTCACTGCTTTCACAGGCTGCTTCCCACTTGATTGATGCTTTGTCCTCTGTCCCTCCAAATGAGGCCTAACAGCTTAATTTTAAGTCTACAGACTGCAAGGATTCAGGCATTACGCTGGCCTGCCCCTGTCACCTGGCAGAATGCACCCAGGCAGTGCTCTGGTCAGCCCAGTGCCCTTTAAAAGAAAGACCTCCGGCTACTTAAGCTTTCTTTCCACCCTGTTCCTGCTGTTCCCTGGGGCAGACAGGACTTTTCCAATCTCCCTCTTCTCTTCTGTCCTCTGTCTCTTTACACCCCCCCCCCCAAACTTCTCACTTAAATTGTCTGCCTGGCATGCTTGTCCCTCTGTCTGGGTCACCCTTGCCTGCCATGGAATCCGCCAAGGTCCCCCTGGCGCTTTGTTCTCACACAGTTAACAAGCCATTTCTTAATTTGAACTTTTTCCTGTACTTGACACTCTTGACAATCCCTCCTTGAAGCCCCTATGCCTGTGTGTCCTTGCCTTTCCTCTGGTCTCAGTTTACCTAAATGTCAATCCTCAGACTTCCTGTACTCAGTCACTGCTTCTTCACTCGTGGGTCATTTCCATCCAGTGATGCCCAACAGATGTTAGCTCAGACTTCAGTCCGTTTTCCTGCCGGACATGCTTCTCTGTACCGAGTCTCCTTACTTGGTTAATTTCAGAACCATTGCTCCGTTTTACGGTTCATTCCTCTTCCTCTTCCTGTTGGCGTCTGAGTCCTGCGGATTTTACTGCCACCTTTCTCTTCTACATTCTCTTTCATTTGTGTTACTGTTACCTAAAGGACTGCCTAAGTCTATTTCCTCATCTCTGTTGGTCCATACCACCTGATTTGGTTTTCTAGAAGCATTCAAGTGCTTGGTGTCCAACGTCCTCCTCTTGTCTTTGCCACTATGTTCTGATAAGAGTGTTAAAAGTTTTTCTTTTGTCCAGAGCTAGATCTCCCTCCAAACCTGGCATTGAGAAAACCATCTGGGAAATTCCATGCATTCCTGAAATTGTCTTTGAAATTACACCTGTCCCCTTCCTATGGTCACCACTGTAATTGCAACCTACCTCTACTGAAATCACTTATTGTACTGTATGTTTTATTTTTTTAAGTGTCTTTTACTAGAGTGTGAGCTCCTTAGGGGCAGGAAAAGAAACTGTTAATTTTGGCATCTCTATAGCATAATGTTTGGCATAAGAGCACTTAATAAATGTTTGTGAATTAATTGCTTCATAGTGACAACTGTACCTCACTGTAAGTGCCCTAACGGCCTTTGCTTACAGCAAGGATCAGTAGACTTCAGGGTGGACAATAAAAATGAAAATAACTTAAATTTTAGTGTCTTTGGTTAGTCATGAATGGAGTCTACTGTGTAAACAAGTTTAAGGGAGGAGGCAATATCACAGGAGATTCTTGATGAAAGCATAGTGGGATTGTAGACTAGACAAACTAAGGCTCTCAGGAGATGTTATTAACCATTTTATGAGGATTTTTCTTAGCTTAAAGTTTGAATAAATGTTCACCTAATGACACTACCATTTATGAATATGGTACTTTATTTCAAACAGACTGAAATATGTGTTGTGATCCATTTGTAATGATATTTTTGAAAGAAACTGAATGTATTCCATTAGGGATATTATAAAAAAAATGCCTCCAAATAAAAGCACACTCATTAACAGTAGTGTTTTATTATAATTTAGTGAACAACAAATAAATACATTCATTGGTCACAGCTATACTTTTGCAACCAGTTTGAAACTGAGTGTATAGCTGAGAAACACTGCTAAACAATAAAAAGGCAATTACACATAAAAAAGCCACTTTTGCTATAAATTACATTGTCCATAAAACTACAATCAGCTACAATAGGTGGTTAAGAGTTTCAAAATCAGTAGTATCCCAAATGAAACAATAAGAACAAATATTGCTAATCACGGCAGAATTATACACTTAAGCCATGAATTTTGACTTTCTAATTAATGATTGTAAGGAAGGGCTGGAGTTGCCGTGTGCTTCAGTGCAGGTGGACGGGGAACTGTAGCCCTTTGACCTTATGAACAGCTCCCTCTGGGACCAAACTTAAAGTGCTGCTAGTGCTTTTGAATTTTTAAGCAAACACTGGGGCAGATTTCTTCTTTGGTGATGTACTGTGAAATGTATATAAGGAGACAAATGTTAAGAATTTAGGTACTTTATAGGCCAAGTGTGGTGGCACAAACCTTTAATCCCAGCACTTAGAAGGTAGAGGCAGGAGAATCTCTGAGTTCACTTGGCCAGTCTGGTCTACACTGAGTTTCCAGGACAGCCAGGAATATATAGACTCTGAATTTAGGTAATTGAGTCAGTGATACATATAATAAACTAACACGTCTCAAATTCAGTGTAGTCAACCAGTGCAGTGATAAGAACTAAGATACTTTATCTGAAGAGTTTAAGTAACCTTTGTTTTACTTTGTCAACCAGGGTGTTTGTGTAGAGAAGCCTAACTGGGAAAAAAATGAGTTAGATACCTAACATCATCAAAATAAACAACTGGCATTCTGAAAGGTAAAAAAACTGAAAACAATCCACATGTGTAGACTATTGTTAGGTTGTCATCATAGTACCAAGGCTAACTTCTGTACTATAAAAGTTTAAATAACTTGTTACAGTAAGAACTTATAAACAAATGCTGTATACTTTGTAAGTATGCTTCCGGTTGAATTTAAAATCGATTGTTCATAAAAAGAAGAAAAGTATTTGGCTTTGTACCATCCTCTCAAAAGCTAGAAAGGATTAACAATATGTTCTTGAAGATTTGCATCTTAGATTTTTGTGAAGTTGTTGCATTAGTTAAAAAGCTGGAAGATTTTAAGTATGAGTACAAATAAGACAGTTTCTAGTCACAGTAGACAGAAGAGGGCAGCTGTGTTCATCTCAGTTCCAAAGCAGCTGGCAGATCCTGTGTGGGGTCATCTCCACCTGTGTGACACCTCCTAAGCTGCCTGTCCCCTCGAATCTGAGGTATGCATTATCTGATTTCCATGTGGACACAGGTAGAAAGTGCATTTTAAAATTGTGTTGTCTTGGCCTACTGCGCTGTGTGTGTGTTTGAGTGCACATGCGGGCACAAGCACACCTCTTACAGTAGCATATTTAAGACAGTTTTAATAAAGTCTTAACCACCTCCTAACACTTCTCTTCTTTGCTTATTAATCCAGTGTTGGAATTGATTGGAATGAGTTTAATTTGGCTAAGCCCATTTACAAGGTATAAAACGTGAAAAATAAAGACGGGATTATACATCTTACAAAGTACTGCACTTCAGTTCACTGCAAAACGTCTCTTGATTTAATTTACCTGAGGACAGTCTTGACTCAGTAGGTAGGATTTGCTCCATCTCCTTTTAGATAAATTGAAAACTTTTTGAAAACATACTGCTTTTAACCTACCACTTTTTTAGTGAACAATCCCTAAATGCATCTGTAAACTTAGTTAGTCCCAAGAAGTTCTACTGAAATCCCCTATGCAAAAGTCACTATTGCTTCCAGAAGAATCATGCTTAAACTGCTACTTACCTTAGTCGTACAAAACAGCTACTTGACCAGTCTTTCTCAAAGCCACACTGTCTGTACTGGCTTTTTGTTCCTCTTGAAGAGACTGCTCTGGCTTTCCAAAGAACACTGCCAGCCAGCAGCACCATGAAGGGTTTCTGCTATCACTTGTTTAAAATAATGGAGTGATTTCAATTGACAATTTTTTCAAGGCATGCTTTAAAAAACTGTCTTCAGTATTACATATTTTTAAAAAGAATGATGCATTTTTAAGCCTTAAATCTGTGCACTGATCACATTTTAAAGCTGTAATTGGGTAAGGATTCCATGTAGAGTACACCTTAGAATTTCTAGGTTTTGATTTTTGTGGAAAAACTGCCTTCCCGTCAGGTGTACGATACTTTTCTGGTGTGAATACTCCAGTGTGGCTTTGGGGACTGCAGAGTATTCTTTCTGAACACAGGTAAAAGTGCAAATATGCAAATGTGCGTTTGACATTCAAAGTTAGGAGGTTCTGAGGTCATCAAGTACCTTAGCATCCAATCTCTCCTCCAAACTTCGAATTTCACTATGCAGAGGTCAAAATGAACAGCTGTATTTTGAGGTTCCCCACGAAACACAGCTGTATTTCCAGATTTTGCTAGTTGCAATAGATGATGCAATGTTGATGTAGATGCTTTTAAAGATGTTGAATACACATACACATTCATGAGAAGCAGTTCAGGAACCCTGCTGTGGGAAAGCCCTCAGTTTTGTGGAGTTACATACAAGCTATGGTGATTCCTCATATCTCCATTACTGCACGTGAAGAGCAAAGGAGCAGTGTCCGTTACAGGTCCATTCAGTGGGGGCGTGACTATGTGTGTGCCGCTGCCCCCAGTCATGGTGCCGTACCAGCCCAAACTTTGTGAGTTTGATAGACTGCAACAACAACAAAAAGAAGTCAGAGGGTTAGTGTGCAAAATAACATCATCTTTCTACACAACTTAACGGCTTCTACCTGATACCCTCAGACTTGTAACACATATCACAAAACATATGATTCTCAAAAGTGGCAGAATGTGACTAACAATATTAATATTCTCTACGTGTTAAGCATTGTTCCAACACAACTGTATGTACATGTACCTTTAATTCTCAATTCAAGCCCACAAGACAGGCTGTGTTATAATCCCTACTTCAGAGATGAGAAATAGGTTAAGTGACTTGTCCAGGTGACATTAGAGTTATTGAAAAGGAACCAAGCTGAGAGAGTCCTGCTGGTGCATAAGGCTTTCTGAAAATTTTGGAACACTATCGGAAAGTTTTCATTATTTATTTTTTGACCTGGAGGCGAATACACAGTGTACAGAAATCCTTCCCTGCCCAACACCGTGCATGCTCTCACTCTGGAGACAATATGGTACCACTTTACTACTACCTTTTTAAAGAGTGATATACTGGCTTCAGGTCACTTGACTGTTGTTCATAGAGCATGTGGTACCACGTGGTTAAGACCTAATGGATTAAGCCACAGTAATACAAGATCATATGCCAAATAATCTGTTTAGTGGGTGGGCTAAAGCTCAGAGTTTTTTTGTTTTGTTATCAATTTCAATACTAAATCAGCCTAAGTGACTAGTGATGTCTACCTTCCTTCTCGAGAGCTCCCCAGTCTTGGCAGGTCATCGTCACTGTCATACCGTCTTGGATTGTCGAAAAAGAAAGCTCTGGAGCTGTAGCTGTGGCTGCTTACCATGCCAGCGGGTGCCTGTGAACACAGTGTTAGAGACTGGGTGAAGGTTAGAGACTAGAAGCTGGAAGTTTTAGCCTCAGACTTACTAAAAACAGAAACTCCAGATAAATACTCCAGGCTTTATACACACACACACACACACACACACACACACACACACACACACACACAAACAAGATTGAGCATTGGGGGATAATATATCTTACCAGATTCTGGCTTAATCTCTGTGCCCGGAAAAACAGTACCACCGACCACGCTGGTACGTGCTCCCACAGAAAGAGGACCATTCCAAAGATGATGTAGTCTCCTCCACTTCCATCTTCTTCACCAGCCTGTCCACAGAGCATGGCAGAGCAAGTTTCACACTGGTTTTATATTTAAGCAATCACCTGCCTTGCACAAGTGCTTCAGGCTGGGTGAGCTAACATATTAAGTATAAACACAAAATCACTGAACTTTGCTGTATTTTGTTTTTTTTTTCTTTTGGGACTTTTCATGTAATTGTTATTTTCCCTTCAAGGAACATAACAATACTTTTCAAAAAAAAAAAAAGAACTACAATAAGAGAATTAAAATGTTTTCAATATATTAGCTTAGAAAAATAATTTTAGTCCTTAGATAATGCAACATGATGTCATTGGAGGCACCATAGTCTGAAGAGGGTTAGTTGTAAGGGACTACTATTCTAGCTGCTCCATTGACATGATAGCACCCCGAGTCATGCCTGCGGAGAAACAAGACATGCTAAGTAAACCAGCACAGCTGATGTTTAAAATAAGCTTTGGGGCTACTCTATATTAGTTTCTATCCCATCAGATTCTGGGAGAGGAGAAGCAGAAAAAGGAGTGAGAATCTGCTGCATGGAATCACATGTGAGAAGTTCATCTCCTCAGTCAGTGAATGAAAATAGTCTCCTAGAATTCCCTGGATTCAGGGCAAAGTGAAACTAATACAAAGATATAACATCTAATTGTCAAACTGTACTTTTAGGAAGGAGATGGAATATGCTGAGAAGTTAAAGATGTATAGCTACAATGCTATGAGTTACAGTAAATACATGGA